TCATGTTAGCCTTCTTGAGTATATTTCTGATGTATGAGGTTTGACTTAGAAAAAGGCCATCACTGGTTTTGCTGACTTCAATACCCAGAAAATAGTTGATAGGGCCTAAGTCTTTGAGAGCAAAATGGTTTTTAAGAACTGAGACAATGTGATCAATGACATGAGTGCTTGTGCCTGTAATGAGTAAGTCATCCACATAGGCCAAGATAAAAATGGTGCACTCCTTGGTATTCAAAATAAAGAGAGATGAGTCTGCTTTGGAGCACTTAAAGCCAAGAGAGTGAAGGACATTACCAAGTTTCAAAAACCAGGATCTAGAAGCTTGTCTGAGGCCATACAGAGATTTTTTAAGAAGACATACCATGTTTTCTCCCTGCTCATATCCTGGTGGCTGTACCATATAAATGTCAGTGTCCAACTACCCATTTAAGAATGCATTATCCACATCTATTTGTCTTGTTGGCCAAGATTTGGTAACAGCTATAGAGAGGACTGTTCTAATGGTGGCAGGTTTCACCACAGGGCTGAAAGTTTCAGTAAAATCTAGCCCTGGTATTTGACTGAACCCCTTGGCCACTAATCTGGCTTTGAATCTAGCTATTGAGCCATCTGCATTTTTCTTGAGTTTAAAAATCCACCTGCAGCCTATGGGCTTTTTCCCTATGGGAAGTTCAGTTAAATGCCAAGTCTTGTTAGCAATTAAAGCCTCATATTCTAGATCCATTGCATGTTTCCAGTTCTCATCTTGAAGTGCATCATCAAGGGTGGATGGCTCAAGGTAGTTTTCTGTCTGTTGTGTGCATGTGAAAACCTTTTTCTTGGAAATTCCAGCTCTTCCCCTTGTGATCATAGGATGAGTGTTCTCTGCATTGACATTGATAGGAGCAGCAATATGAACAGGTACAGTATGATTATCAACATCAATTGGTAAGTCTATGTAAATCTGTCCAATTGGTATTCTGGGGGATGAATGAAAGGGAGATGAGCTATGAAGAGAAGATGATTGATGAGAGTGTGAAGGAGTGGGATTAGGATGATGTGGAGTAGAGTGGTGGGGTGAAGATGTGTTTGAACTGGTGTGTTGTGAGGTGGAGGGGTGGGGTGAGGGTGGTGTAGAAGGTGTTGTAGAAGTTGGTTGAATGATAAGAGGAGGAAAATTAAGACTGAAGTTAGATTGGTTTTGGTTTAAGGGATTGTCAAGTTTATCTTTAAAAGGAAAAACCTGTTCATCAAAGGTTACATGCCTAGAAATTATGATTTTTCTATTAGGCAGCAGTACCTTATATCCTTTGTACTGATCATGGTACCCAATGAAAACACTCAACTGACTTTTAAAGTCAAGTTTGTGCTTGTTGTATGGTTTCAAATAGGGATAACAAGCACATCCAAAAACTCTCATATGATCATAAGTTGGTTTCAAGCCTGTTAACACTTCAAAGGGAGATAGAAAATTCAAGACTTTGCTAGGCATTCTATTCAATAGGTAGACAGCTGTAGAAAATGCATGATCCCAAAACCTTTTAGGAAGAGAAGAATGAGCTAAGAGGGATAAACCAGAGTTTACTATATGTCTATGCTTTCTTTCAGCCATCCCATTTTGCTCTGGGGTATAGGGACATGACATTCTGTGAGTTATGCCATTTTGAAGGAAGAAATCAGATAGAGGTTTGTATTCAGTCCCACCATCACTCTGAACAATCCTAATTTTCTTGGAAAATTTGTTTTCAACAAGAGTTTTGAAATGGATAAAGGCATTTGGTGCATCAGATTTACTCTTCAAGAAGTATATCCATGTGAATCTGGTTTTGTGATCAACAAAGTTAATGTAATAGCTGTGACCAGATTCTTATTTGATGGAACAAGGCCCCCATAAATCAGTGTAGATTAACTCAAGAGCATCATAACAATCAGTAAGTGAATCATCAAAAGGGAGTGTATGACATTTTCCCATAAAGCAAGAGGAACATAAATGTTTGCTCTCATTGTCAACAAAGTCAATATTACAGCCTCTAAGAGCCTTTTTTACAATATCAAAGGATGAATGTCCTTATCTATTGTGCCAAAGGTCTAAACTAAATTTATTCTTGATAGAGGCTGTGTGAGTCTGAGGTTGGAACCTTGAAAATGAGGGAGACACTTCAACTCTACTTCCCTTAGCTGGCTTCATGTCAAAGCTATATAATCCATTATTAAGTCGGCCTTTGAGAAGTGTCACTCCTGTGGCTTGATCCTTGAGAAGACAGAAGAAAGGATGAAATTCAAAGTACACTTTGTTATCTCTAGCAAACTGTGAAACACTCAACAGGTTTTTAGTTATGTGAGGGACACAAAGGAGATTGTTAAGAACAAAGGAATGATTTTTATTGGACACAGACTTCAACATAGATGAACCAATGTGAGTGATAGTCATACCTGCACCATTTCCCATTTCAATCTTATCATCACCATGATATTCAGCTGCTAGACTGAGGTTGTTGAGATCTGCAGTGATATGATTTGTAGCTCCTGAATCTGGCAGCCATTGAGACTCTTGAAAGTTATGATTTGCTTCTGAGCCACCAAAGCTGCTCCCATTATAAGAGCTGAGGTTGGCCATGTTTGCCATGTTTTGGTATCCTTGCTGATTTCTGAAGTTGCCAGGCTGAGAATAGGTGTAAGATTGGTCAAACCTATTATAGCATCTATCAGCTGTATGGCCATCTTTTTGACAGATTTGGCATCTAACAAAATTGTTTCTTCCTCCTCTTTCTCTATAATTATTGCTTCTGCCAAATCTCCCTCCTCTGTTGCCTCTTCCAGGAGCAGATCTACCCCTTGTGCTTTGATTTGAGGTGAATCCTCCTCTTTTGGGTTCTTGTTGAGATGCAACATTTGCAAAGCCCCTGAAGCCATCTCCATTAAGTGTACTCACAGTGTTTCTTTCAATCCTACTTTCAAATGTTAACAATAGAGACTAGACCTCTCTAAGAGTGCATGGTGGTACCCTTGAGTTGATTGACACAGAGACAGAATCATACTCAGCACCCAAACCATCAAGCATAGATGAGATGTGATCATCCTCAGTGTATGAGTTACCAGCAGCAGCCAAAGCATCATAACAAGCCTTTATTTTGTTGAGATACTCTCTCATTGTCTGAGTACCTTTTTTAAGGTTGTGGAGTTGAGACTTGATCTGCATAATCTTTGCTCTGGTTTGAGTTGTAAAATCCAACTCCAGTGCTTCCCAGATCTCAGAGGAGGAGTTGAGTCCCAGTGTTGACAAGGATCTCTTCAGTAAGAGAGCTTAACAGCCAAGAAACCAATAGTTGGTCTTGTTTCTGCCAACTGAGGAAGTGAGGGTTAAGTGTGTTGTGAACTCCATTTTCATCAGTGATGTATTTTTCTGGTGGAGAGACCGTTCCTAAAACATAACCCTCTAGGCCATAGCCTCTCACTGTTGCCAAGACTTGATGCTTCCACACTAAATAGTTACTTTCATTTAGTTTCACAGTGACTAGTTGTGCTTGTGGTTGGATCACAGATTGTGGCTGACTAGAGCTAGTGGAGACGAGCTTGCCATTTTTCTAGTTTAAGTCTGGAAGAAGAAAGGAAGAGAAATGAGATATGAAGAAAAATCGGACCAAGGTGAATGGAATAGATCTGTAACCATTAAGATGAAAGAGACAGGTTAAGATCAACCCGCTCTGATACCATAATGGCCTAGATCAGTCGCCATTGAAGATCAAATCACACCAAACCCCAAAAAGGAAACTAGAGAAATCAATGAACAGATATTGCAGCTGTAAATTCTATATCATTCAATATCACAATGAACTAGAAACATGTGAAGATAATTATATACAAAGTCTGAGCTAATATCGACCGTAGTATCACAACCTAGGGCTAAGATGAAATCTGAGAATAAATACAAAAATTACCAAAGAAGGCAAAAACAAAAAGAGACTATGCATGCATGGGGAAGGCATGCGTACGTCCTAAAATAGAGTAAAGGTTGACCAAAGTCAATAATGCTATTAACAATTATTCATGTACCATTTTTTTTGCTTTATTCTCTTAAAATATTCCATTTCTTCTCTCTTAGAATTGTTCCTTCTTCATCTTCTGCTAATCACTCCATCATCTCCTTCTGAAGTTGGCAGCTTAGGTTGAGGCTTCAGGCCCTCCACAGCGATCGCGAGTCGGGAGCAGCTCCGAGTAGTAAAAGATGTGAATTTCAACTTTAAATTCGTAAGAAAGAGATATAATAAATCTACAACAACCCTAATTTTATTGTTGGGAATAACGATAATAAATAAAAAAATAGTAAAATAATATCTTTTTTTTTTGTTTTTAAAGAGTATATCGCATGAATTTAGAAGAAGAAGAAAAAGAAACTAAAAAGAAATACACAACTCAAAAAACAGAGAAGAAAATACAAACACATACTCACGAACACCAACACACAAGAACTACACTGCAAACCAACAGAAAAGATACTGAGCTAAAATCCTCCTCCATCAACAGCAAACAAAACCCCACAACCACAAAAAATAGACCTTTAGGGCAACTTCCCAAAGCGGGCAGGGAACTAGACAAAAGCTTTAATGAAATAATACAATATTTCTACGCCTAACTAGAGTCGAGCTAATGGCCAAAACCCCCCCTTACAGGATGACTACCCCTGGACCAAAGCCTAAGACCAGCTCAAAAAGCCCACGCCACACTAACCGGCAACCAAAGGCCGACAAGCCACCAGAGCCACTGACCCACACACACCGGCTAGCCCCATAACGATAGGGAAAACAAGGGTGGAGAGCCAAAAAAATCCCTGATCCTCTAACCCTTACTACCACCGGCGAAAACTCGCTCAAACACCAAGAAAATCAAAAAGAAAGGAGAAGAACGAGCTTACCTTCACCTCGACCACTGCAATGCACCGATCGGAAAAAACCACCCACCACACCGCCCGACTCCTGACACACATCGAGGTAGGAAGGCAACCTGCGATACTGCGAAAACCTCTAGCTGCTAGAGCCACGACTCAACGAAGAACCAAAAGCAAAGCCTTGGTGAAGCGCGCACCGCGGAAGCGACGCCGCGTACCCCCATCGAAGGAGAAAGACATCAAAATCTGGGTTTTGCTATTTCAAAAATTAGGGAAACAGGTAGAAGAGAGAGAAGAGGCTTAACTTGTGCTTGTTTTTTTTTGTTTTTTTTTTTTTTTTGGTGTTTGTGTGTTTTTTCTTTAGCAGCCTTGTTGGTTATTTTTGTTTTATTCTTCTTCCTTGAAGCTTGATTCTCCTCTGGTGGGAGTGTATAGTTTGTTTGTGATGTGGTGGGTTAGCGTTGTTTTGGTATCTACTATGTGCAGTCTCTAGTGAATTTGTTTGGCTCATTTTAGTTGCTTTTTAATTGTAATTATGGGTTTTTATTTATAAAATTCATCGTTTAAAAAAAATGTATCTTAAAAACAAATTTCGAAGCCGTGTAGATAAAATAAGATAAAAGGCTTAGTAACGTCTTGAACACGACCATTTATAATATTATTATAACAAGAATAAAAATTGAATCGGTCATTTATTAAATTTTTAGACAGATTATTGAAATAGAAGAGTGTGGAACTTAAAAAGAGAAGATGTATTAATGTGGAATGAATTAATAGCAGATATTTATTCACATAGAAGTTTAACTATGATGTGGTGAATTTGAAAAGGTAGAACCAAATGATTTTTCAAAAGAGATTTGATTCATGAAAGGGAACTGGTGGAGGGAGCTAAGAATGAGTGGTTGGAATGGGTGAATGTGAAGAAGGGGATACTAGATAATTTCAAAATGGCAAAATTGCGACTAATATCATGACCTTTATCGAGATTGTAAATTAATCACAACCTTTTAACTTTTGCATAATATATCACGACCTTCAAGACTTTGCAAAACGATACATCTGTTGCCCCAACTCGTCTGACGTGACACTCAAATGCCAACGCACCTGCTGATGTGTATTTAACAGGCAATTTTTTTTTGCATAATTAATCACAACCTTTTAACTTTTGCATAATATATCACGCACTTTAATTCTTTGCAAAACGATACATGGTTTAACAGATGATTTTTTTTTTTTTTCATATCATCCCTGGACGAGATGAGGGGGAAATTTTAGAACCCTTGGGGATATATTAGGCTAGGATTGGAGAGAAAACAGATTATTGAGACTTTTATTTTTTTTATTTTCATCTCAAAACTAATTCTCTCAACAACTTTCACTTGGTTTATTTGGATTTTGCTTGGATTCGAGTTTTGGAGATTGTGGCACTCCATAACGAACGCGGTTTGGTTTGTAATTCAATTTCATTCTCGACTTAGATTAATAGCAATTTTCTTTCATTTGATTATGGAAGTGATTTATTATGTTGAATCTTTTGTTGGGATTGATATCAATATGTGTGGCTAAATCGCTTCGTTAGGGATAGGGAATATTTGTTTTGGTTCGATTGAGCTTCATGTGTGCGTGTTTGTCGTTCAGTCTATTCGAGTTGTGCTTAATCTAGGGTTAGATGTTTGATCATCATTTTAATCTAGTTAATCAATTTGTAGAACTGAAAAGGGAAAAATTGATTGATCTCGGCTCGTTTAGAATATGCTTGTTCGTTAATATATTGTCTATATGTTAATTGTTTAATAATTGGTCGTTACGAAGAGTTATTGAGGAGAAGCCTCTAAACGAGTATGTTATTTGATCTCTTAACCGAGCGGTTGCGTGCTAATTGATTGCTTGAGAACCATAAACGAATATCTCTGACTCCCTAACTCACCAAATCATTATTTGAACTCCATTTGGAATTTGAAGTGTGTCTTGCTTTATTTTTAGAATTTGTGGTTGATAATCAAAACAAAAAACAATTGAATTAGAGTGTTTCAGATTTGTTTTCTCTTTTCATCGAGTGATTGAATACACGTGCAAAGTAATTCGGCTAACCTTCATTGAGAGACGACCTGGTGTTTAAATATTTTCGTGTTCCAAAATCTCCAGCTCTAGCCTAATATATCCCGAAGGGTTCCAAGAAATATCCCCCTCATCTCGTTCAGGGATGAGATGGAAAAAAACATCTGTTAAATACACGTCATACAAGTTGGGGCAGCAGATGAAAACTATGTATCGTTTTGCAAAGAATTGAAGGGCGTGATATATTATGCAAAAGTTAAAAGGTTGTGATTAATTATGCAATAAAAATTGTCTGTTAAATACACATTAGCAGGTGCGTTGGCATTTTGAGTGCCACGTCAGGCGAGTTGGGGCACCAGATGTATCGTTTTGCAAAGAATTGAAGGTCGTGATATATGCAAAAGTTAAAAGGTTGTGATTAATTTGCAATCTCGATAAAGGTCATGATATTAGCCGCAATTTTGCCTTTCAAAATTGGTCCTATAATTTGGTCACAGTCCAAAAAACCACCCCTATATTGACAACTTTCAAAATAATTTCAAACTTTAATCAAACTTGGTCCTTTTTTAATCAAATTTGGTCCTTTTTTAATCACATTTTAATCCATGTTCCGGATAAAAAGGACCAAATTTGATTAAATTTTGAAATTATAGGACCAATTTTTTAAAGTGGTCAATATAGGGAT